CACCTAAAGAAATGCCCGGTTTAGCTTTGCTCAGTCCAGATACAGCAAAAGAGAAAGGAAGAGGGTTGCATTCAAAGATAAAACTGGGTAAGGGTCGGGTCCGATTTAGAAGATCTTGAGTGTAAGATTATATTTCAGATTTGACTTAGAAGTTAATTAGGAATTATTGAAGGTATTTTAGAAGGCACTAGATCTTACTCAAGTAACATTTTAAGGAGAAATTTTGACAATTACTAAAAGGATAGTTTCAGAAGTATAATGTCAAATACAACTTTGATTTACAACCTGTTACAGAGCATATGAAAGATATCAACCTTAATTTTTAAAGTATCACATTTTCCCTACTTTTTTCAAAAACAAAGAAATGAATGTAATTTTCTCAACAAAAATACCTAAGGTCAACAGAAACAACAAAATGTAAACATTTTTCTATATTCAAATACATTAATGTCTTCCCAGATTGATGAAGTTGTTTATATCAACACGTGATGCTTGCTTCCTTTTCTAACATGGTTAAGTAATGAGACAGACATCTCGCTGATCCTAAATAAGGCACATAGAAAGCATATTCCTTAACCATGTTTACTAAGAAGTGGCAAAAAAAGTCTACATATTGTTATCTGTGCAATAATGTGTTAATTCAAAAATACTTTTCAGATGACAGTTCAATTTTGTCATATCTGCTGCTAAGTAGTATTTATTGAATAGAATCAAAAGAGCAAGCTGGTGGGATTTTGTTGTTGGGACTGAAACATCAAGGGTAACACTTCTAACATAAAGGTATTTGTCTAATCTACAGAGAGTGAAGTATAAAAGAGTAATGAAGGAGCTAGTGAAGGGACTTTAGCTGCCAATCAATAAAATGGTAAGGTTGGACCATATGTATCTAAGGTTCTTTTCTAGCTCTAAAATTTTACAATTATTGCATGTGATTAGAAAGGGTATATAAGAAAGTGACAAGAAATAACATTTAATGAAGGTGCATTTTTTTACCTTTATATCCCTAACTTCTTATAGTGAACCTGGTGGATAGTAAGCTCTGAAACATCTGATTAATGAATAGATAACCTGATTATAAAAGTAGACACAATCTAAGAAAGCAATTTACACATTTAGAGTACAAACATACAATGTATTTCTCTAACAGAACCAACATATTAGAGTAGAGTACAATGACTGACAATAACAGGAATTAAAATGAGGACCCTGAGGCATTAAAAAGTTTTTAAAAATGTGCCCCATTTCTTTTTATACGAACTCAGGAAAATGAGATGATGTTTTATGCTAATCACTGAGGGTGCCTAAATTATCACTTAACAAGAGTAACATTAAATTTTCTGGAAGTTTCATTTATATTGAATAGCTCATTTGCTCTACTATGTTTAATGAAGAGATGTTAAAACCCAATTTTCTTCAATAATTGCAAGGCAACATAAACTGAGTTAAACAAGCAAATCCTTAACTTTATCTAGTTAGTGTTCACCCTAGATAAAATATTAGCCAATTAAGCTAAAGATCAACCCCAATTATATACAAATACAATAATACATTTTCTTTAATTCATTGGTTATATGTACTGATATCTTCTTCAAAGGCAATTAGATTAAATTATACATCTTACATCATTCCTCCTGCTCTAAGCCCTTTGATGAGTTCCCAACATAAGAATAAAATGCAAACTCTTTAGCATGTCCTGTATGTTCTACACCTGGATCCTGCCTGCTTCTCAGACCATTTCTTCAAATGATTTCCTCCTCGATTATTCTGCTTCAGTCACACTGTCCTTCTTAGTGTTCCTTAAAAAACTAAAGTTTTGTTCTGGCCTCAAAGCCTTTTACACTTTCTTTTCTCTTTGCCTGGAAACCTCTAGCTACAGATATTTGTAAATCTCAACCCCTCAGTACATCATTCAGATCTCCCTTTGAATGTCACTTTACAGAAGCTTTCCCTATCAGTTCTTACTGAAAGCAGTATCACTCTGCCCTTGTCTCTCCAATCCCTTACCCGCTTAATTTTCTTGTTAGCATATAGGCTAAGTAGAAAATATATGTGTTATTTGGTTAATATTTATTGCTTATTTCCCCTCTAGAATGCCAGCACTGTGAGAGTATGGTCTTCACTTGTACCCCAGACACCAGAACAGGGTTTGTCAAATATTTAGAATCCCATACATACTGGTTGAGTAAATGAATACATAAAGTAATGCAGATTTTCAAGATATATGTAAAAAAAAAAGTGCCTAATAGTGGCCTCGGCAAGCAACCATTTGTATTTTCTGAAGATAACATACCCGTTGTATATGCACAGGCTCTCTTAGGGAGAGAACGTAGAAACTGACAGTGCAGTTGGGCTGTGGTGAGGAAATATGAAGGACTGGGTGACAGGCAGGCTTACTTTCTACTTCATATCCTTTTGAACTGTTTTAATTTTAAAGTCTAGGTATTTTTAATTCCAAAAACAAAACAAGAAACTATTAAATTTACCTTAAACACAACTATCATTTAATAACAGTAAGTTGTAGTTAAGAAATATTTTCTATTGAGTTTTTACTCTACCAACAGACGTGCCAAGCAATTATATGCTTCTCACTTAATCCCCACAATATTCCTATGACATAGGTATATTATTATCATTCCTATTTTATAGAGGAAGAAATTAGTACAGAGAGACTAAGTTAACTGGCTAACGTCACACTATTGGAAGCACAAGACCTGGGATTTGAACTCAGACTAAATCTAAGACTCAAGCAATTAATTGCCCTCTGATATAAATACATGATCCTCTGAAATTTTCTTACAGGAGTTAAGAATATGTATTTGCCCACTTCTGATAGAAACCTCAGGGCCTAGTAAAGGAGCTCTTGAATAAATGTTGAAACAAAACAAAGCTTATGATTTCTCTGAGCTTGCTGGATATCAGTTTCTATTCTCACCAACTATTAATTGAGAACCCTTGGATTTAGAGCTATACAGTAACAATCAGTAATCAGAAACAATAATGATTATCATTTGAAGACATTCTATGTGCCAGGCATTATGGTAAACATTTGACATTCATGATCTCCTTCAATCCTTACAACAATCATACAAGGTAGATTCTACCACTGTCTCCATTTTACAAAACATAGAGACCTCACTTTAGAATAAGTAATTTTGCCAAGATGACATAGCCAGTAAGTGACAAGCCAGAACACGGGCTTGGATCAAAATCCAATGACCATGTTCTTAACAACTATGCTCTATGAGAATCAGAACAGAATGCATTCAAACAATGAAAAAGAAATGTTGCACAAATCATCTTAAATGTGGAGTAATAGAGTTCTATAAATTACTTCTTAAAAACAAACTCAAACCTGAATTAGATTCAGATTCAACAAACAGGTTTTAGGACCAGAAACTATCCACACTGTCATTTACTGTCTCTAGGCAACTTAAACCTTTTTTTTGGAAATAACTTTAGTGTTGGAGCCACTGCTTCTACTAACTTCCAACCATCAGGGAACAAAAATTTCAAATGCAGAGAAGTGCAACACTGATCTGGGCTATTTTCCCCTTCTTGTTTTTTATAAAGTCGACAGCATAAAAGTCATTTTATGTGCACCTTAACTGATTCAGAATATATATATAGTGAGACAACAGGCACTTTTAAAATAAAAATTTTATGTACTTCTCAACACTTGCTCGGTAACAGAAGAGAGATTAATTATTAGAATTAAAGGCAGGTAATCTTTGTACTGAAATGGTTCTTAAAAAAATAACAGAAACTTAGTAACAGGCCCCATCTAATCTTTGAACCTTATATTCTCCAGAACCGAAGCTCAATACATATTTTCCAAAATTCAACGTGGTGGCTGAATGTGGCGGAATAACACTATCAACTAAAACCTGTAGAATGTTTAACATATTCTATCTGATTATTAAGTTAACCTGAACTACATATTACACAACAAAATTTTTCAGTTCTGATCAAAACTCTTCTCATAAACAGCAGTCAGTCTTGACCTGTCTGTAACTGAGTGCCTAAAGTCTTGGTAGAAAATAAGAAAAAAAAAAAAAAAACAACCCTAGGAGGACTGATTCTCAGTGCTTCAGGTCCCTTGCCAAGCATATCTCATCTCCTCGTTAGACAGTGCTGGCAGGTCTTAAAATGATGCTCGGGACTCCCGGCAGGGTCCGGACTGACTCTTGCCAGACTAACAACAGAACCACGCCGGAAAAAAAATTCGTAAGTTAATGAACCAAGGTTCCTCATTTGACAGTTAAGCCCAGTTACACTTACATCTGTGTCTGAAACAAAACACTCTGAATATGGGATCCGGAACTAAGTTTACATTGTAAAGCGCTGGATATAACATGCTCTGCTGAAGACTGGGAAAGGAGCCATCAGGATGCCCTTTAAAACTTCGACTTCCTCGGAATTTAACGCAGGAGATCACTGCCTTCCTGCTGAGCGCTTGTGGACTTCGGATCAGACAGAGCCATGCTTTTAGTGGGTTCTCGAGTTCTTTCTTCCTTTAGCTTTCTCCCCAAGGACCCTAACCACCCGCATCGCCCTCCAAGCCCCCTCCCCCTCGCCCCTTCAACGCTTCCACGTTTGGTAACAAGCCCACCTGGTCTTTTACGCTCGAGACGGCAGGACCCCTCGGCTTCCAGCTAATCAGGTCATCAAAATGGGCGTCCAGAGACCTGACTTTTCTCCAAGAATACCTTTCCCTCACTTCAGGCCCACGGTAGGGTACCGTGACTCCTCACTAAGTTGCCAGGCTCCCGGCGACTCAAACTCAACCAAAAGATTCAAACCTAAGCCAGTTTCCTCAGCGCCTCGTTTCATTGGCTGCCGTCCTCGTTACGCCATCACGCCGGACGTTGCTGCGGCGCGCTGCAGTTTGGTTCCTGGAGTCCGGGCCGCGCGGCTCAGCAGAAGGCGCCCAGCTCCGCGTCTCCTTGGCAACAGGCGAGGCCGTTTCCGGAGGCGGTGGCCACGGTGGGCGGGGCTAGGCTCGTAGTGCAGGTGGGAGTCAGCCACCTGGGATTATCAGCAGCCTTCAGACGTGCGGGCTCAGGGCTTGTCCCAGGGTGCTGGGTGTGAGTGAGACCGGTGTGGGCAGGGGTTGGTGTGGGCCTTCTGCTAGTGGGAGAGGCGGAGCCTGTAATGTGTGGATTAAGGGGTTCTGGGTGTTTATTTTCTCCTTTTCTCTATTGACTAGGAAGGCTTCCAGAGGCACAGGTCCCAAGGTCTGGAAGGTGTAGGGGGCCGGTTCCTTCCTGCCACTTTCACTTGGACCGAACCGGATCAATCAACCTCAGTTAATTGAAACCCAGGGCTTTTGGTTTGAGGCCCTAGGCTTCATCTCTCAGGACTCCCAGGCCTACTTCATTTGGTACTGACTATAAAACTGGTGTTTGGCCGCTTTTTACGTTTCCAAGTATGGCATTACAAAATAAATTTATTTAAACTTACTAGTCTAGTTTATTATTGGATGTAGTGAAGTTTTTTTTTAAATACTAGGTTTTAGATATTTAAAAAATACCTGGAAAAAAGGAAACTATGTTTGCTATGATAACTTTGTTACGAAAATTTTAATGGTATGATCTAAACTTCATTGTTCCATATACAGAATGGGGTAAAAGTAGGCTTACAGTTGTGAGTACGTGAAACAGTTTATTCTTACATTTTTATTAGTTACTTTATTTTCATATGAACAACCATAAATCTCCTTTTGCTCCACCCTGTATTACCATGATCGCATCCATTTATTTAATAATTATTAACTGCAGATTTTAGGGACATAATAGCACACAATTATGTCAATATCCCTGCCCTCTTGGAGCTTATATTCTGGTGATTCAATATCACCATATATGTATAAGGTAGCACAACACCAGTGCAGAGTAATATAAGTGAAATAATGTCTGGAAAGCCCCTGTAAGTTGGACATTTATTTCCTGTGGAAGAAAATCAGAAGCACTGTGTACTGAGTATGATACATGATGTATGATTGTTTTCAAACATAGGATAGAGCATCAATAAAGCTATTAATTAGTGGCTGTATTACATGTATTTTAGCAAATGTAAAAGTTTCTTGTGTGATGCTGGGTTTAATAAAACAGACGCCTTTATTTTATTTCAGCTATGCACTCACTCTATAATACTTTACCTTTGTATGTCCCAGTCATTTTATTAACTTTACATATGTTATGTCATTTAATTCTTAAAACAGCCCATGACTGCTTATTTTACTGAAGTGAAACTGAAGTTTTCAAAAAATCCCTAAAGGAAAATATTTTTCTTAAAATGTACAAACTAGCTAATTCAGAATTGAGTAATTTGTTTCTGAAATACATCCCAGATCAAGGTATATTAAGATGCTACTCTAATCCAGTTTGAAAAAAAAAGAGGTGTTTTACCAATTTCTTGTAAAATTGCATTCATCATTGGTGACTCAGAAAGAAATCTTAAATTCATTGTTTTTAACACTGACATTGTGTAAGTCTTACCAGTATAACAGTATAACACCTAATCTAAGTACTTATTTTACATGAACTTTAAATTGTGCCTTACGTTTGCCTTAAGCAGTGTCCAGATGAGTTCCATACTTTCAAGGAATGTATATTTAGTTAAAGCAGAGAAATTTTAATGGTATAATCAATATCATTTCTGTGCCAGCTCTCTTTAGTTTGGTGAAACCTTAGAGAATATAACAGAACGGATAACAAACGGGCGTATTTTGTATGGAAATGAAGGAAAAAGAACTAAAACTTTAGACGCAGAATGTTAAGGGGACAAAAACTCCCACCTTTTAAAGAAAATTGGTGTATAACTAACTTCTGTGTTATTTAGAATACAAATTTAACATAGGTTCATAGAAAACTGGCTAGAGTGGAGATCAGGATAAAATGTAAAGTTAGATTTAAAGTTGTATCGGACATTTAAAAAAACAAAACTTAAACTTAGCAATGGTAGCGTCTTATTTACTCTACCCTCCCTCTTCCTTTCCCCGGGAAGGAAGAGCATTTGGAAACCCCAGCGCCTGTCAGACCCTTTTGCATCTGGGGGCTGGAAGCAGCGGAACGAAAGGCAGAGGTTCCTCGGTTGCTGGGCCGGACGTAGACCCAGTCTGTCCGTCCTTTCAAGTTTCCCCCGAGGCTGGGATCAATGCGTACGGCAAATTCAGCTGTCTGGCGCCGTTGTGGTCGTAGTTGGCCCGAGTTAGAGGCCAACTGAGCAATCTTCGTGCCCCAGGTGAGGAGACGGTGGCTGAGTCCCGAGAACTCTCTTGGAGCTCACCCCACGCCTTAAGGGGGAACTTTCAGAGGTCGCCGAATGCTCTCAGAGCTAAGGAAACACGCCCCTGCTCCCGCCTGTTCTGTTTCCCACTCCTCCACACCTTTGCATCCAGAGTTCAGAAGTTTCTAAACAGTTTTAACTCGTCAGAGTATACTTCTTAGGTCAAAGGGTGTATTTTTCCCTTTCCTTTAGAACTTTCACGTTATCTGCGTCGCGGTGCCTGCCTCCAGGTCAGGTTTTTGGCCTTAGGAATTGATTTTTCTAAGTTTTGTCTGCAGGGAAAACTGATTGCAACGATGGTAATGGGAAGAACCATTGAGAAAGTTTTCAAAGGTGTGACTCCCCTTTGTCTTTCCTCGATTAAAAGAGTGACCCGCCCGATTCCGTGGTCTCAACAGTTTAAACTGAACTTTGCTGGCAGAGAAAAGTTAGATGACTTATTTAAGAAACCGAAGAGTTGACTCTAAAGATTAGGTTTCCTGACTCCCTGCCTCCTTCCTGTGACCAGAGGGAACATAAATTGACCTAACATCCATTAGGTTGTAAGGTCACCCTAAATGACCCTGGTTTTGGGTTATCTGGTGGGAGACTGGGATGCCAAGGACAGGGAAGGGACTCCTTTTGGAGCTTGCCTGCTTGCAAGGGATTCAAGGAAACATGCAAAGAGGAAAATTATTGTGGTTCTTACTCCACGTTAATCCGTGTTAATAGTCAATTAGTGCATAATAAGATCTCCAGGCTTTGTTACTTGAACATAGTCGAGTAAATACACAGAAATTGATTACAAAAGGAATGAATTAAATGCTGGAGAAGGCGGCGTGGGGTTTTTTGATTTTTGTTTTTTTTTCCTATTCTACTTGCTATGTCCCCATGTGGATCTGATTCCTGTACTGGAATTGATTTTATGGCTTGTTCTTTAAAAACCTATCAAAATCTAGACAATTTAGATTGTTTAACTACTGCATATTGCACTGTTTCGAACTGTACATTGTATGTCCTCTCTTGGGTACCCCACAGTACACTGTATTTTAATTTTTCCAAGTGGGGTAGGACCAATGAACCAAACAATGGGCTATTGGTTCCTAAAAAAAAAAAGAATAATTTGTGAGATAGTACAAAATACAATCAATGTAATTAAAGTGCCATTCAATCACAGAAATGTATTAAATAGAGCCCGTGGACTCTATGTTTATAGCGTAGATGATAACATTGCAGGCTCTGGGGTTAGAATGCTGGAGTTACAGTTCTAGCATTCAAGCTATGTGGTTTTTTGGCACAATGTTTGTTTTCCTCATCTTTAAAATGGACCTAACAGTTCCTACCTCTAAGAGTTGTGAGGATTGAATGAGTTTGTACATGTGATACTGCCCTGGTTGGTGTGCCTTGGTTGGAACATTGTCCCATAACCGGAAGGTTGAGGGTTTGATTCCTCCTCAGGGCACATGGCTAGGTTGCGGGTTTGATCCCCAGTCCTGGTGCATATGACCCCTGGTCCCGAAGCATAAGGAAGGCAACAGGTCAATGTTTCTCTCTCACGCAGTTGTATCTCTCACTCCTTTCCTCTCTCTCTAAAAGCAAGGGGAAAAATTTCCTCCGGTGAGGATAAGCCAAAAATAAAAGAATTGTAAGTGGTACGCTCAATAAATTTTAGCTTTTATTTTGAAAAATGTTAGAAATACTAAGTTGAAGGGTAGTTGAGTTTCCTTTGTATGTGCCTTTTGGAAAACAAAGCATGATTATTCATTCGGCTAATTTGTCACTACTGAACAATTGAACTTTACCTAAACACTCACTTCCAATCTGCTTTTTTTTTTGTCATACATTTCCTGAGTCACAGTAGCCATATAACTCTGTGTATTATATGTTCGGTAAAGTTGGCATGTTATCCTCAAGGTAACAACTTGATACTATATACGTATAATATTAAATATATAGAGATAGATATGTTTGTGTTTCTTCTCTAGTCCTTACAGGTGATTAACTCTTCACCATTATTCTTCATTTTCAATTGCAAAAATGAGGGGAGGCATATTTAAGCAGGATTTATGTTTCTTAAGGTATTTTGAGAAAGTGGCTTTTCATAGGGTCAGTCAGGTGGAATTTACTAAAGCAAGCTTTGATAAAAAATGTTAATTCTGGCCCTGGCTGGTGTAGCTCAGTGGATTGAACGTGGGCCTGTGAACCAAACAACCATGGTTCAATTCCCAGTCAGGGCACATGCCTGGGTTGCAGGCCAGTTCCCAGCGGGGACACAAGAGAGGCAACCATACATTGATGTTTCTCTCCCTCTCTCCTCCTCTTCCCCTCTAAAGATAAATAAATAAAATCTTTTAAAAAATGTTAATTCTGTAGAATCTGGAATTTATCCATCTATTTTCTTTTCAGAAAACATTTATTGAGCACCTAGTGCTCCTCTTACACTGTGGCTGTAAGGGAGTGGGTCTTACTCTTAAATGACTCATAATCCATGAGGAAGAAGGAGGAGTGTTAATTTGGTACTTAATGCAGTATGTTGTATCAAAAATGTTGATTGCAACTAATTGGGTAAAAAGCATAATGTTTTCACAAGATCTTCTGATATATTTCTATTCTTCCTGCATTTTAATGAGTTACAGATTACAGAATAAAATGGAGCAGGTATGAAAAAATGAAGGATGTATCAATTTTTTATTTGCTTGTTTTGGAGGGACAAGGGACAAACAAAACAAAGGTGGGTATGAAATGTCAAAGTGTGCTCTGCTGAGTGTTAGTAAAGTACAGATTAAATTGAAAAAGTGCTTCCTGAAATAGGCCATGGTCTATTCATCTCTGAAGAGATGATCTCTTCAGAGAATATTCATGACAAGTTTGTAGAATTTTCACCTTCCAGGGATACTGATCATCACCCTTTTTTTTTTGATATACATGCATAGTCTTTTTTCAGGGGCACTTTTTGAAGTGCCCCTGAAATTGAAGATTAACATTTAGTATTATGAGAAAGATTGAAGATTAATTGAAGATTAATTGAACATTAATCATTGAAGATTGATTGAAGATTGACATTTAGTATTATGAGAAAAACAAATAGAAGAACTTGAAATGAAAGACCACCAAAACCTAAAATAGTATAATATTTATAACCTTTCAGTCATGCAGATACCATTTTCAAATAAACAGTTCTGATGCACTGAATCCATTCTTTAGACTCAATTAAAATTAAAATAGTACATATGTACATATATTGGGTTGGTCAAAAAAATTGTTTTTTTTTTTCATAAGATGGTTCTAGTAATGATTAGTTTTCTTTAACTTCATTCGAAACAATTTTGTTAGATTGTATTGTGACAGCTGTCATATCAGCGTGCATTTGAAAAAAAAAAGACTTAACCAAAATTGATGAGTTTTTGTGTAGCCATTTTAATATTGAAGATGGAAGAAAATAAGCAACATTTTTGGTATATTATGCTTTATTATTTAAAGAAAGGTAAAAATGCAACTGAAACACACAGAAAAAGATTTGTGCAGTGTATGAAGAGAAGGGGATGTGACTGATTTAATATGTCAAAAGTGATTTGCAAAGTTTCATGCTGGAGATTTCTCTTTGGACAATGCTCCATGGTCAGGTGGACCAGTTGAAATTGGCAGCAATCAACTCAAGACATTAATCAACATGTCTTGTTGAGAACAATCAACAATATATTGCATGGGAGATATCCAACATACTCAAAATATCCAAATCAGTAAACTTATTGGTAAAAATGAAAAATGTGTCTTTTATTTTATGGGAAAAAAATAAGGACTTTTTGGCCAACCCAATATTTCAGTAAAATGATGACTAAATAATCAATTTTCACATTTCTGGTAGTTAAAAGATTGATGGTCTTAGAGCTAATTAGGCCACATTAAAATTATATATTTAGATATTTTCTTGAGTTGTTTTGGGTTCCTTGCTTTGCATAAGGAGATTGGTCACCATCACTTGTTTGAGATGGACAAGTTTTATATATTTTTTTAGTTAAATATTATATATTCACTTTCCTCCAGGTATTATAACATTCTTTTTTAAAAAATACAACAATCATATTTAAAATTTTTTTTCCAGATTCGTTGACCTACAGAATGCTTCGATACCCATGCTTTTACAGAACCTGTACAGAATTTCTTCCATGCTGGTTGGAAGCTGGCATATTTAACTTAGGTGTCTGGCCAAAAAAGATATACACTACCACAAAAAGATGTGAGGAATGTGAAGCCCGGGATCAAACAGAGCAGACTGGAGCTCAGGGGTCTCTCAGATCTCAAGATGGAGATTCTGAACCTAGGACTAAATTACATGTTCCAGTAATGGTGGATGAAGTGGTTCGTTGTTTGGCACCACAGAAAGGGCAGGTAAGTTGATTTTTTTAAAATTAATACTTAAATTGAGATATCATTTACTTATTTTAATATTCACAGTTTTAAAGTGTGTGACTCAGTGGATTTTTGTATATTCACAAGACCATGCAGTCATCGTCCCTGTCTAATTCAGGGACATTTGCATCACCCTGATAGGAAACCACATACCCATTAGCATTCACTCTCTATTGTCTCCCTTCTTTCTTGTCCTGGCAGCCACTAATTTATTTTTCGTCTGTATGGATTTGCCTAATATGGACGTTTTATATAATATGGAACTATACAGTATGTGGACTTCTGCAGCTGCCGCCTTTTACTTAGCATGTTTTTAAGATTCGTCTATGTTGTAGCATGTATCTGTTCCTTCTTTTTATCCCTGAATCCCATGCATCTGTTCTTCAATTGCTAGCATTCATTTTTCTACTTTTTGACTACTGTGAGTAATGCTGCTATGAACATTTTTCTGTACGTTTTTGTGGGGACAATATCGTTTCCATTGCCTTGGGTATATGTCTAGTAGTAAAATAAGTGGTAACCCTATGCTTACTTTTTGAGGATATGCCAAACTGTTTTCTAGGGGTTGCTTGGTTTTGTTATATAACTATTTTAAAAGAAAACTGAATTTTAGTTTATCTTAAGAATTTTAGTATCTTTTCAGGAGTGACTAGAGAGACAAAAGTAAAGATCTGAATTCCTGTTCTCTATTTTCTTAGACTTAGTGTGAGTGTGTGAGTGTGTGTGTGTGTGTGTGTGTGTGTGTGTGTATAGATAGGGAGGAAGGGAAGGGAAGTGAAGGGGAGAGAGAGAGAGAGAGATTGAGATTTTAAGGAATTGATTCACATGATTATAGAGTTTAAGTCCAAAATCTGCATAGCGGGGTGGCAGGCTGGAGACCCAGGTGAGAGTTACAGTTTGAGTCCAAAGGCAGTCTACTGGCAGAATTCTTTTTTGGTCCAGGATGGATTTCCATTAGATTAGATGAGGCCCACCCACATTATGGAGGGTGATCTGCTTTACACAGTCTAACAGTTTAAATGATAATCTCATTAAAAAAAAATACCTTCACAGAAGCATCCAAAATAATGTTCGACCAAATATCTGGGCACTGTGGCCCAGCCAAGTTGATACATAATTTTAATTATCATACCTGTGTTATTTATCATGTTGCTGGCAGGACTTTAGAAGGTCTGAGATATGAAAATGCTTTAATATATATAAAAAGACTTTTTTGGAGACTTGTTCAAGTTAGGTCACATAGTGTTCATCAACTAAGCCCTGAGCTACATCTGTTAGGGATGCTGGACTGCAGGATGTTGCTCATGTACAAGCCATCAGTGATGTGACTTAGGTTGCTTCATCATAAAATGCTCTGTTTACCTTAACTTCAGACTGTATATAACAAAAGCCCAATGTTCTTAAATGAGATTATATGTAAAACACCTAGCTCAATGCTCTCATATAGTAGGAACTCCATAATATATGATAGTGTAAATTGAAAAATTAAGTTGGATAGAATTCCAGTTAAATGACTTCATCAAAACGAGATTCTGTTCATTGTCTTTAAAGATTCATAATGCAAGGATGACATTAATATCCTTACCTAAACATGTTTTGAAGAAGTATATATAAATATATGTATAATATATTTGAGATATATATGAGAAGGGAGGGGCAGTTTGTAAAAAAGTAGAACTTTTGATGGCTTGTAGCTGACCTCTGAAACTAAAAATCAAAACTCATTGTATACATTTGGTGAAACCTGGTAGTAAAAAAAATTATTTTGCACTGACCCATGAAGTAGAAAAGCAACCGAATAAAAACAAACCCTACTAGGTCTCCTCTAAATCAGTATTGGATCTGCTTTTTTTCCCCTAAAACAAAGTGGAATAAAATTAGACAATTCTACAAATTGACTTCCCCTGCTGTTTCATTCTGTTGAAGTTCCTGACAAATGTAATGTTTTTACATTTTCATTGTTCTGATTTGAGTTGGGTTTTCTAGTAACTTTTTATAGAAGGTACAATTTTGTGAATGTTATTTTTGAGAACTTTCCTGTGAGGGACACTTAGAGACAATGTTATTTCTTACCTCCTGTTGTCCGGCAGACAGCCTTGCCCACTATCCCTTAACCTTCAGGTAATAAAGAACTGGCAATAGTCCTTGGACAGGAAAGGTCTGAGTTTCTTCCAGAATCCTTTATTTGCTTTTTTTTGAGCCTTTTCCCAAAAAGCATTTCCTTTGCAAACTATGAGTCACACACACTTGTATCAATCACCCACTTAATCACTGTTTTTCACATCACCATTGAAGGTGAATTATAAATTAAACTTGATTTTAACAGAAAAATTTAAAAATATCTAAATGTAGCTTTGAGTGAGACCTTGGTCATCAAATAGTAATTTCTTTTTTAAAAAATATTTAAAAGGTGCTTACCTAAAAAATATTGATTTTGGAAATTTCTTCTGCATCGTAGCCAATTTACTATATATTACTTTTGTTTTGCAAGTACATGCAAAATACTTAGGGGTTTGAATTAAAAGAGATAAAATTTTATCTTATATTCCTCTTTTTTTGAGGTACGGAAGGAATCAAATAAATTATAATTCTTTTTCCTTGCCCAGTTTTTATTGTTTCCCTTCCTGGGTCAATAACTTTGTAAGAATGAATTACTTTTTCTATGAACATTTTTCTTGCTCTTGGAGATGTTTTAATGCAGGCTACCTTGGTCAGTTTTTTTATTCCTAATTTCTGAAAACTAGAGAAAAGTTGCATGCTGCAGCCTAGTTGACAATGGTGGCAGTGGGAGGATGTAGGGGACCTGGCCTGCTCTTCCATCCGGAGAGCTCACTTAACTTGGTGGCTCGTGGTATCTGAGAGTGGGTAAGTTATGAGAGAGATAAGGGACATATAAGGACTAGTCCCAGCAGCTGTGCAATTTTAGACGAGTGACTTATGATGGTTGTGCCTCCGATTCTTCATCTATAAAAAGGGGAAATATAACCTACTTTAGTATGGTCACTGTGAGGATTAGATGAGTTCCTGTATTTAAATTGCTTAGAATGATATCTTCCAAGTAGAATGTACTCAATAAATATTTGCTGTAATTATTGTGGGGATAGAAGGCCCGGGTTGGTAGCTAATGCAAGAAAATTCAAGAGAAAAATGCCAAGAGACAGCAGATGTAGAAATAAAAGTTTCAGCAAAGGTAGAACCAGTATGTCTGGAACTGAAAAAGTACTGCTTTCTCTGCTTGGATCGCTTATCACCATCCTTCCGGTCTTGCTTGAGGCATTTAATTTTCATTCATAGCCCTTATGGATTACTTGTTCAATGGACATCTCTCGTAGCAGACTGCCCTCCATGTTTATCTTACTTACCATTATATCTTCACTGCCTCGTACAAGGCCTGCAACATGGTTGGTTTGTAATGATTTTTAAGCAAATATATGTAAGTCAAAGTAAACTGGGGGCACCAGCAACAGGAAAGTCTCTTGGGTACTAAGGTAGCTTCTCCAGCCCAAGACTTTTACATGGTTCCAGTCTGTGCGGCAGGTCCAGTCTGATGAAGTAATTAGAGAACCTGGTGAAGGGACACATACTAGGACTGAGAAAAGGAGCTGGCGTCTAAGCTGATGCAAAACAGATTATGATAAATATCAGGCCAATGTTGTAAGGTTAGGCTCACTAATATTCGAAATAAGTATCAAAATAAGTATTTTGATAGTCTAACATTTTATATTTCATAATTACTAAATTTGCCAAAGTTGTCATGATACCAGATGTGATCATTTTCTTGACAAAAAATTTATTGTGCTGTATATAATGAATTTTTTTAAAAGACCAGTAGCAGTATTTCACTTGTTTTATGTGAAGTCTTTATAATCTTTAATGGAAAGTAAACATAAAAGAGCAAATCCTGAGACTATGTGTTTGTTTAAATATTGAGGGTTGATTGATCACAGAGGAGTTTAATTTATTGTTTTAACTCAAGCTATTAAAGAGTTGGGAACTTTTCTATGAGACAGAACCAATGCTATTGCACCTTTAGGGAGATGTATTTATTTTTGAAGAGCTATTAAAATTTCAGATCGAATGGAATGTCTAGATGTAGTGTTTCCTTTTCATTATTATTATTATTTTACTTTTATTAGCATTTATTTTATGCTTAATTTACTCCCAGGCCATAAATTGATTTTTTGTTTTGTCAGTGTCTTCTGGGATATTTTTTCCTTGTGCAACCTCCTCTTCTGGTTTAGGAATAATTTGCTCTTTTTCACTAAGGATGATCTTAATGTGGCAGGGAGAGGTCATGTATGGTTTTTCTAGTGAATTTCAATGCCACATCATGTGAGCTGTGTTCACTGGGATGTGCTTAATGACCAGAGAAGAATCTACATTTACACACTTAGGTTCAGCATTACTCTATGCATTTTTTTAAACATGTGTAGTAAAAATTCAGACTGTCTCTGGGTCACCGATCCTATGTCCAGCTTCACTGTTAGGCTTGGGCCCACCTACCAACTCTACCATTGTGATGACAGAATATTTACACATTGCTTCTATAAAGTGACAGTCTTAAGGAACTTGGTGGCTTTTTGGATATATATACCTTGATGGCCTGAGCAGTTTCAAGAATGTTCATAAAGTGAACACAAAGATTTGAACCTCTTGATTTGCATGATTTTTATGCAGTTTTCTGGGTCAAGTGAATAGCAAGCCATTTTAGAGGTCACCTGGGGCTGCTTATGGAAAGAGGTCCTTTCCATTAATTTTTATCAGTTTCTTTGAAGTAGATTTTTTTCATATTTTATTCTATTTGGTTATTTGAAATTTCTTTTTTAAAAAATTATGTAGCTATTTAAGTAACCTGTGTATTAAAATAATTTGTGCAGTGTGATATTTCCAGTGTTGCACTGGTATATCTTTAACACCTGGTCTGAGGGTTGGGGTGTTGTGTGGATTTAAAAAAGCAAAAACCTCGATTTATTTTATTT